ATACTCTATGTGACCTACTGAACTCGGTGGTATTATAAACTGAGATTCTTGCCAACACAGGCAATGACGTAAGATTGCGGTTCATTGATTTATTTCGTTAGATTAGACTTTGCTTTGTCTTAACTTTGGATTTTATAATTTATTTTGCTTTTTCGTTTACTTTTAATTGATAATAAAAATAAAAAAGATAACAAATGGACCTGGGGTCCTGGCAACACAACTTAACCTTGAAACTTGAAAGCTTTTTTTTTCTTGTGTAGGTATAGTGTACACACATGAACTTGTTTACCTACTTAATTTATTGTCCACTTCATATATTATAATTAGGTTTATTTCTTTAAAACAAAGCACAAAGACAATCGGTTTCATCTTTTTAATGTGTGCGAAGATACTCTATAGTATGTTTAGATGTAATACAAATAAATATAGTTTAGGTTCATCGAAGTTTAAACCAAAGAGGTTGTTTATTTTTGTAGCTCTTACATTTATCATCTATAATAATAAAATAGTTTAGTTAATATAGCAATCTATATATATATATATATCGATCAATGTAGTATTGAACCTATATTATTATATATTAAATATATCTAAAAATATTTATACTTTGCTTAAACTTTAGAAAACACGAGGTGTCATATTATGTATTGGCTTAACTTACAGGTTAATTTAATATAAGTGATATCATGGCTTGTCACGCAAATAAGGAGTAATTCAGTGTGCATATAATTAAATAAATCTCCGATATTGCTATTTACGACGAAAAGAATGAGTAACGAACAAATAGAAGTATCTCATTAAAATCCTTATCTAATGCGTCATTATCTTTCTTATCTAATAGCAATACATTTTTAATTTTTACCCGACTGCGGCAAAGCCCACCGGAGGATTACGTGTACGTACGAGTATGTGTGTCTGTGTGCCTGTGTCTGTGCGTCTGTATGTATGTACGTATAAACGTATGTATGTATGTCCGACCATATGTTCCCTCTTAATTACTAAACGGCTTAACTGATTTTAATAATTCATACGTTCGTTGGATTCGTCTTGATAACGGTGTATCAAAATACAGTTTTTTAGGTCTATAGGTTTTAGAAAAAATTGTAAATAAAACAAAATTAAAAAAACCTGACTGCGTAAGAAGCAAACTAAAAAGATGCGAACAAGTTGACGAACAAACATAGTATTATTTTCAATATACTATTGTATTGTATTGTATTGCAGTCAGCCCTTTTTTTTAAAGTCCCACTACTTGGCGCGGGCCTCCCTTCATACTAGGGGAATCAGGCCATAGTCCACCACGCTGGCCAAGTGCGGGTTGGCGGACTTTACATCTATTCAGGTATTTCGAAAACTTGCTAGGATCTCTTAGACATGCAGGTTTCCTCACGATGTTTTCCTTTACCGTAAGACAAGTGGTAATCGTGTTCGAAATGATTCTCACATAAAAATATCAGAGGTGCGAGATCCGGGATTTGAACCCGCTTCACTCGGTTTCCCAAGCGAGCGCGGTACCACTGGGCTACCACTGCTTGTTTTAATAATACCTTGTCAACATACTATACCAAAATAAAAATTATTTTTGGGGAAATTACTATAAGTAGCATATTATGTAAATTAACTGACCAAATAAGGTTGGGAATCTGATTCGTGACCTTAAAACAAGTTTAATGTCACAGATACAAGGTGATTGCAAAGCACTTTTAAAAGCAATTTTTTGGAATTTAAAGTGAAAGCTTCGTTATGAAAAGTTAGCTTCTTTCCGCGGCTCTACCTGCGTAGAATCTATAGTAGAGTATTTTCTAATTAGAACCACTAACGATTTTTTGCTGTGTTCGAAACTTTGGCTTTAGGTTTTTGGAGGATAGCGCTTCTTGTATTATCGCACTAAAATTATCAACGAAAATTGTACAAAATATTACTTGTAAAAATATTTCACGGGTCAATCTGGACCAGAAGCTAGTAATAAAAAAAAGGAACGGTACTCAAACCATAGCTGATCTAAATTATTACCGTTTTTCATGCGAAGGGGCGCAGTACCTTTGTCCACTAAATTACGCATGAATTTTACTACCTATCATAAAATTGATTTATAATTTTTGTATTCATCTTCGTTTGTTCTATTTCCGTTCTGATACGATTTGTGAATAGCAAGAATTTTCATATTAACGGATCTCTAAAAATATAAAATTTATTTAATTTCTATACTTTTCAACAAGTACTAATTACATAAGTAGATACATGAAGTATTTAGAATAAAGTGAACTGCATATTGGTAACTTTTGGTGTACAGAATATAATTTGCTGCACATTTATAAACATCGTAAGGTTTTTTATTATTATTTTGATCTTTTCAAAGTATCCACTTTAGAGAAGTACTTTCGCCTTTGATCATGGTATAATCGAAAAAAGAACTTATGTTTAAGATAACTACAACTAGTAAATAAAACTTTAAATTATTCTACAACGTTCACTTATTTTATAACATAGTAGCTCTAACCATGACCGAATGAGTATACCTAATTTTTGTATACCATCGGTTTTCTAGCTTATCGCTTTTAACCTTTTTTCAGATCAAAATCTATTTAGTCAGTATTAAATTGTATTAAACTATTAATAAATCAGTGAAAGTAATAACCACAAAGACATATCGGTTTCTACTGTGGAGTTCTTAAAGTGAAAAAGACGTCATGGGCTAAAAATGTACCGGCCTAAGGGACCACATGGGTGAGGAAGGTATTTATAAATATCCAAACATTTTAACACGAACTTTTCATTGTCGTTTTCCTGTATACAAGTTATTTTTATATAATCTAGTTTAATTTATTTGTCTATTTGCCTGATGAACTGAACTATGAGAAGCGCTAATATTTTATCTATCCATAAATAAAAAAGAATGTTCCTATGTTTGTCCTCCATGCGTTTAAACCATTAATCCGATTGTGATGAAACTTTGATGTATTTTTCTGTATACCTCTGCAAAGGTTCCTACCGTAAAAAGTTTTTTTTTCATTAGACGTTTGTTTTTAAGCTTACCTAAATCATTCAAGCTTAGGGAATCGGGACATATCAGAGCGAAGCCAGGGTATACCGCTAGTTCATTTATAAAAATAGTTTGAAGAGCTTTGAACACAAAACATATTTAGGGTTTTGTAACTAAAAGGCAATAACAGGTAACTTATAATTTCGAATGTCCGAATGTCACAGCCATTTTACTTGGAGACTACTGTATGTACTAGTTATATGATATTTGGACGGGAGAATGAACCTGATGTAGACCGCTAGATTATTTAATCAATTTACGAAAAATGAAAACATAAGTGTAGCACTGTACCTACTATAGTGAAAAAATAATTGAATGCAATAAACCTGTGGAATATCTTTTAAATATTTCTTCAATCAGATAGATGTTCCTAAGCGATATCTTTTTTAGGCCTATTATAGCTGATGAGTGATGATATACACGTAAATATTGCTTCTGCCGTTGGCTTTCCATTAGTATCGAATTGTTGTAATTTCTACCCATATTTATATACTATACTCCTTTAATCTGTTTCAACTATATAATGTAAAATAATGGTGTGCAATAAAGAATATTTCATTTCATTTATTTAATTATTATTATCAATTTTTACGAAGTTAATTATTATTATTATCCATCTTTTTATTTTAATTATTCGACTAAAAGTATTTTTTTTGGTTTTTGTTTTTATTTTACTAGAAAATAATTTGAATAACTGAGTGACTAACTGACTGACTGAAAATAATGATTTTCATTAAATACGCTATGAAAGTAGCAATCTTGCAGCTGGATCTCGATTCATTATGATAAAAATTTCTTAAAATTCCACCTCTAGCGGCAAATTTTATTTTAGAAAATTTCTATGCATTCATATAAATTATGAAAATCGCGAAATAAAAAAAAAATTGGCGAAGGCGTAACGTAACCAAGCAAATACAGACAAATGGATTTCCTCAAAATATAACTTTAAAATATCAAACTTAACGTATAAACATAAAAGAAATAAACTTTATTATCCGTCACGCCAAAATTGAATACGTCACAGTGTGATTCAGTATCGAGATATAAGGAAATACTTATTAGGTCAAAACCTCTCTTAGTCATCACCATCACAACACATCATTGTGATATCATTATATGGGAACTAATCATTATTTAAAAGTTGAATGTCTTGAAAACGGTTCGAAAAATACGTCATCTTATGCACAAAAGTTATTCACGCATTTATACTCACATATGAGTACTATAATCAGGTATAGTAGAAATAATTGTTAAATATGGTGTAATGTATTTGTATTTGTTTAATATATAATTCGAATAGTTTTATTTTGTTACTTTTATACTAGCAAATGCGTGCAGCTTTGCTCGGTTTTAAAGTTTTAATTTCTATTTATTATGCATATAAGGCCCAAAAAATAAGAGCACTTAATACGATGAGCAAAAGCTATATTATTTATGTATCTACAGACTAAGAGTCGAAACAAAGTGTAGGTTTGTTTTTAATGTAGGTCAAGGATTTTCTTTATAAATAAAAAAAAAATAATGAAATCCCTTTACCTATTTTCAAATAATGGATATTTAAACGTGTATAAAAACAGATAAAATTGTAACTTTTATTTCAGTTTTATGTCAAAAAAATGTGTCGAAGACGATTCAATTCAATTTTTTTGTTAAAGGCTTTAAAGGATGCCATTTGAGCATAGATTACTTCGCCAATGTCACGTAGAATGGAGAAGACATGAAAAACACGATTATTTTAATGGCTGTTTAGTCAAATAATTGCATGGGCAAGTGAAGACTGCAGTGTGCATACAATAAAGATTTATTTGCAAGTAGAATCACGTACAATTTGCCCGTAAATTATGTTAAATATTTGCCCCTTGTAATATTACGATTCTGTGTAATATACTGTGCACACTGTACAGTTAAAAAAGATAAGTAAAAATATAGGAAAAGACAAATTGCTCGCAAGCTCCTAGAATGCGACTTTTGGCATGCGGTTTGTACCCCTATCTAGCCCAATTGCCTGTCTTAGATTATAATATTATGTTTATAAATATTATGATTTATCATGCTATCTGTGATCGATGAGCAATGATAGTTTTTATAATGTTTGATATTACTAATTGTTTGCAGAACCCGCGGCTTCGCACGTATACATCATACAAACTTTCATCTTCAATTTTACCCACTTATACGATGAATTTCAAAAATGCTAAAACACATATTTATTTAATTTTAGTAAAGAGCAATAACACCAAGTTTCAAGTAATTCTGATCATGAATATTTTTTTGGATTGTATTATAACGTGTTTTCCCATTGGAATGAAATTATCTCCCGCGGTAAAAAGTACCTATGTCACTCTCTAGCTTTCCAACTATCTCCACACAAAAAATAACGCCAATCCGTCAAAGAATCTCGACGTGAAAGAAGGACAAACAAACAAACAAACACACTTTCATATTTATAATATTAGTATGGATTATCAATACTAACAGAGTTCGTGTTTCCATTAATTTTTAAAAAACTAAATTATTTAAGTAAAATAAATCCAACTGCGTACAAGCGAACTAAAAAGATGGAAGTTGAAGGAATATAGTATTATACAGTCGAAAACATACATGTTTTATACTTGCTGCGAGTCTTCGACTGATTTGGCTTATCCGTAGTTGGGTAAAATTGAAAATAGTCTTCTTATGTACAATGTAAATTGTTCATGCACGGAAGGCAAAAGAATCTAAGCCATACAATTGAAAGCTTGTATAGAGAAATCATCACGTATATGTTCCCTTTATATTATCTTCTTGGGACGATGACATAATATGTACAAACGTACATAATTTATCTGTGCACTTGTGCACTATAGCTTTATACCATTTCGTTTTACACGTACATTCTACATTTAATAATACTCAAATTCACAAAAAATTGAGACGCCATTCCTAATCAATGTATTAAATATTAATATAATAAAAAATATTTGTATGTAATATTTTTTATTATGATTATTTATGAACTGATGTTGCAAACGATATAATTTAAATATATTACGGTGTAAGTCCCATATGTTATATACAATGGAGTTGAAAATAAAATACATAATATAATAAAAACTCACCACTAAATTAACATTAACAGATGCACAGGCCTCTTCAACTACCTCTTCTACAGCTCCGCTTTCATATTCCTCCGCTGGCAAACTTGGGTACAGTTTGACACCAGAAAACGTAGTGTCGTCATCAGTTGGCAAAGTAGGGTACAGACTCCCATTTCCAATCAACGGTTCCGAACTTCCTTCACCACCCCTCTCTTTATTCAAAAACCCTCTCACAGAAGACACAGCATTCGCAGACCGATGCCACCCCCAACCGTTAGCACGAAAGTTCTTTGGATAGTAGAAAGACATTATCACTCACTCAATTCAAATTCAAAATAAACACTGGGTTGATATGTATTTGTTTATATCTGAAACAAAGATGAAACTGAGTCATGATCGTGATGTAGAATTTCATTTGTGATTACACATTACTTGTTGTTTAGTCAATTTGAAAGTTATTTTTAATCTTTAGTTAGAATATCGAAGGGAGTGTGGGAGGAATAATGTTGTAATGGTAGGTATAGGTTTTTATAATCATGGTTGTCATATTTTGCATTTTTTGCTTCAATAACTTGTCTTCTAGGTTTTTCCACGAGGTAAAATTAAAGTATAGGTTTTTGAAGATATACATTACAATATGATCAGGGCCGTGCGAGAGAGATTTTCCTAGTATGATGTAGGTTTTTAAATGTCGCTCCCTAGGTAATTTTCATTAGAGTTTCGTAGCTAAAAGGTACTAAGTACAAGGTTAGTACTATGTGTTAGATAGCTAAAAATGCCGCTCCTATTTTGTGCCGCCCGATGCGGCCGTATCTTTGCATCACAGCACCGCACTGCCCTGAATACGATATCTAATATCTAACGTGTATCAGTATCTAAAAAAACACTTGTTATAGAATCATTAATACAGTTATTGCACCAATTGTCATAATTGAGTAGAACAAGCGCACAGAAAAAAAATTAAAAAATGCACCGACTTTAAAATCACTTAAAAATAATTATACCACTCGTAGGAGTAGAATTCTCTTGCGTGTGTGGGATATTGCTTAAAAGAATACCAGCGGTCTTGGACTTCCCTAGATCTAGATCTAGATTCAATAGATTACCTATATTTAGGTATTTTACAGTGTCGATGCGAGGTTTTTTATACAACATCAATAAAAGCGTACGCTGTAGAGAACGGATTCTTTATTATAAATCTGTAGAGATGTAATGTTCGGTGGTCAGGAGGGGTCTTGAGATACAAACAGCAGCGTGACTTTGATAGATATTTATTTATCACACGACAGTTAACTATAACTTTAAATTATAACTTTCTTACTTGCTATACTGTAGCTGACTCGGAGGTCCGAAGGAACTCAAGGAACTCAAAGAACTGACTAACATTATGGGTGGAGGACATTATAAACCAATACAAATGTAAACACATTTGGAAAAAGTAAACAAACAGTCTCTGGACTCTATACTCATTAACAATTACTGGAAATTTGATAATTCTAAATGTTGTTTATATAACATTAAAGAACAATAAGTCTAAATGATCAATGAAATCTTTGATATAATATTAAAGTACAATTTATTAAAAATATGTAAACATTACAGAGAAACCTCTCAATAACTAATCAGGCTTTGGATGGGTTATAACTCTATATATTATGTCTACTGAAAATACATTTTTACTAACCTTGACGTGCAAAACTATATATTATACTCTTTTCTTTATTCGTAAAAAATATTTTCATTTCGATAATAGGTACTCGTAAAATTTTTATTTAAATATATAAAATTTGAAATCCTTCATAATTCAAAATGCAACTTAATTCGTCATTTGAGTCTTATTATATACAATACATAACTAACGACTTACCCTCGCTTCGCGCTCGGGTTTAAGTTTTTTAGCGGAACCCTAATTCTTTTTCTAAAATACAAGTAGCTTAAGTTACTCCTTATAACATCAGGTATCTGTCAGTGAAAGTCCCATCAAAATCTGTCCAGCCGTTTCGGAGATTAGCCAGAACAAACAGACAGACAGACAAAAAATGTTAAAAATGGTGTTTTTTTTATAAGAAGCGTATATAATTTCATATATTTGCTTTTAATAAAAAGGTCTTATTTTGATATTACAAACAGTCACTTCAATTTTATTTATCTGTAGGTACTTATAGATTGACTTTCTATGTACTAGTATGTTTACCTTATGTGTTTTATTTAATCCCTTGAATCCAATTGAATAGTCAGTATTTATGTAGCCTGTGACACTTAAGGGCCGATCCACACTGTAGAGCCGATCACTTTGGTAAAGTATTTTTATACAAAAAACTTTGCTGAAGTGCAATTCAACCGGAACTTGACTCTTACGGATAGTGTGAATGCACTCATTGTTTCTTGTATAAAAATATTTTAACAGACCGATAAAGAAACGAAAACGTACTGATGGGTACTTTAGTGACGAACAGTTTTAACTGGTAGTTAGTTAAGTAGTAAACCCAATGTTAAACATTTATCCTATTAATTGCTTACTAGGAATTATGTACATATGTAATGAGTAATGATGAATGATAATACTTATCCATACTAATATTATAAAAGTAATTCTGTATGTTATATTTTCACGCTTAAATTGCTGAACAGATTTCGATAAAATTTAGGAAGGAATTAAATTGCAGCCTGGAGATGTAGGCTACCTTTGATCTCCGCCCCACTTATCAAGCGAGCGAAGCGGGAAAAACTCTTAGTAAATAAATAGCAAAGAAATTGATATTAGTATTGTTGGTATTTTCTTCAAACATATTGTATTTTCTTTACAATTTAGAAGAATTGAGTAATAATTGATTTGATATGCAGATATGTTCGGAAAATTAAAACAATGAAGTAAAATATAATAGTTAGGATTTCAAAATACGAGCTTTTTAGAATGTCAGTCGAACATAGTAGTAGCGTGATCTTTGAAATTTGACTTTTATGTTTGTATGATATTTGAATGTAATTGAAGTTAAAATATAAGTAAAAAGTTCTAGAATATCTGATTTGTGCTGGAGCAAAGAATTCAAAGCTGGCAGAGTCTTTACAAACAATAATTGTATTTATGAAATACTGATATTGAATAAATAATTTAAATTAGTGGGTTCAACTTTTGCTGGGGAGAAATATTATGACATATTATGTATATAAAAAATAAAAAATGTAAAATAATAAATATATAATAAAATCATTTAATGTGTAACTTCATAAATCTTACATTTTTATTATATTTTTAATTAGATATTACCTATAACTGTACAAATTTTCATAATTACTTCACTCATAATCTCAGTATAATTAACTAAATTATGAACGGTTTGCCTAGTGAGTCATGTAAGTAGGAATTTCATGTAAATTGCATACACACTATATTTGGCCTTGAATTTATCACGAGCGCATGAGTCGTAGTAAAGATAGTGCACTTTATCTTGGCAAAAAAGTGACATTTATTGTACTTTCTCGACATCTATACATATAATAAAATTCTAACTAAATCAAATCTGTCCATTAAATATTTTTTGGGAAATCTAATTGAAATAGACATTATTATCGATACAGAGTCCGAATCTATAGTTTTTAGAGTTTTTGTCTCTTCAGAAATCACAATCTCACAAACTTCACCTCTTTATAATATTAGTACTATAGAAGTATAGATATATAATAATTATACAATTTATTTTTTAACTAAATTATACAAAAAGCTACTACACTTAGTATTTATATTGGGTGATCTACTAGTCGTACGGCTTTCTAGACGAGCTTTGAGAGATTTAGGCGCCGGGTGAAGCGAGGGTATAATTTTAAAGCGAACCTATAACCAAATAACAAAAGGCTGATAAGCTTTGATTGTATACAATAGAATATTGTTGAGTTGCAGCCAACTGGAATTATTTGATCATGTATTGTTTAATATGACGTTAGATGTTTTCCTTTTGATAGGAATATACTTAATTTTATCGCGTTAATTGACTAAGCTTTTTACCATACAGCGGCGAAGCCAAAAGGCGGGTTATGTGTTTATCTGTATATGTATATATACATATGTATGTCCGATCCTAGGTACCCTGACAATTATTATAGGCACGGTTTAACAGCTTTTGATGATTTATACGTCGTTACATTTTTCTTGTTATCGAGAGTGTTATAGGGTATAAGGATATCATTAAAAAATAAAAAGAAAAATCAAAATGGCGGAATTCAGGCACTAATTTGTGTCTACATTCCATCGGCAACTTGTTTTCCTCTTATTAGTTCGCTTTATACGCAGTCGGGTTTTTTAATTTTTATAATATACCTAATTTTTGTTGTAATTGATTCAGTATAACTTTTTAAAGTAATTACTGATAAAATACCATAACAGAAGGTGGAACACCTACTGTAAATTAAATAAAAATATAAACAGAGCCGCTCCTTTGTGCTCGTCACAATGACATTCGTAAGGTTAACATAAAAATGTTCATATAAAAGCAACTAGTTTCATGAAAAAAGCTTATAAAATGTTTTAAAATACCTTTTCCTTTTCTAAATACCTCTAACAATTATAATGGGTTAAACACAGAAAAAAATATTTTTGTAGTCCTATCTTTTTTTTAGGACATAGAGTGGCTCCATACAAATATCACGAAAAAATCCTCTTCCTAAGTCAAGAATTTCAAGACGATTTTTAAAGCTGGATGGATATTTTTAGATATATGGAAATTATTCAATATCAGACAATTTTGTTACAAAAGGGTATTTTTTAGTACTTTTTAAATATTATTAAATTTTTTTGGATAATTTGCACTTGAATTATTTCTTGTCATCTTGAGATGGTTATAAAAATTGAACATACCAGTCAATAGCTATCTTGTATTGATATTGCATAGTTGCTATCTTAATGCATTTAGTATTTGAAATAATTGACAAATCTTAGAGTGGGTGCAAAGTTAAATGCAGTTTGTTGTTAAGCACAATACTTGGAAAATGGCTGGACCGATTCGATCAATTTGTGTGTTTTCAAATGTTTCTAATTGTCAGAATAAGATTTTTAGGGGAAAAATTGTAAAAATTGCACGAAAATATCAGAAGTTCGTGAAAAACTAAAAGTTCGTTTTTTAAGGATTTTTGTATGAATATAAATACATACATACTTAATTTTACTACGACATGACATCAGATCCTCTAGTATGTTATATAAACAGTCAAAGAGTATGTATATATAAAGAGTTAAAAACAAAAAAAACGTAAACAATTTTTTTTAGACTATTAACTTGTAACTTTTGTTGTTATCTATACTAAACTTTTGGCAGCTTTTTAATTAAGACAAGCCCATTGTTTTATTGCTCTAGGGAGCGTTGACGAAACAAGGTCGTTTAAACTAAATAATTTTATTAAGTTGGTTACTATCCCACGGACCTACAATCATTGGGTAATAAACTTTTTTTTGCAAGATTTAATAAAACACTAGCGACTCACCCTTGCTCCGCTCGGGTTCATCCCTACTTACGTTTTAACGTTTAATATAGATTTCTCAGAAATGAGATATTTTCCCGAAGTAAAAAGTATCTTATATGTTGATCCGAATAACCAGCTATCAACATACCAAATTTCTTAAAAATCTGTCTAGTGGTTTTCTCGTGATTCGTTCACAGACAGACAAATATTCTAAAAACTTTAGATTCGGCTACTGTATCGATAATAATGACTATTTCAATAGGATTCTCCAAAAAATATTTAATGTACAGTTTCGAATCAGTTAGAATTTTATTATATGTATAGATTACAGGACAATTAATTTAAATTATAGGGAAATTGAGCATTATTTGCCATATAAGTAATTTTGGAAACCACATGTGAAAATGTAGTCGCTTGACTCATTAGTATTTTCCTTGTTACCACAATATAACAGACAGACGGTTTGCTATAAATAGATTTGGCAGAAACGCCCAAACATAAGCGGTCTAATGATGATTGCCTTATATTTTTGACCGACTTCCAAAAAGGAGGACGTTCTCAATTCGTAGGAATATTTTTTTTCTTTTTTTATGTACGTTCACCGATTACTCGAAGACGCCTAAATTCTCTCTTCGGTCTCATTTAAATTTATTCAGTCGAGCGGTGTTTTTTAAAAAAATCATCAATAAATTATTTTTTTGCTTAGCCGAATATGTTAAAAAAAATTCTTCTTACAAATTACCTGCTTATTTACGTCTACACTAAAAATAAAAACAAAAAACTAAAAAAAATCGACTTCCAGGCACTAAAATGAAAAAATGACTAAACAGGGGTTTTTATTTAGAATAGATATCTAATCAGATATTTTCGAAGTCGGTGCCAGCCGACAAAAATTTAAGATATGAATATCTAATAGGTAAATATAATTAGGTATAAACTCTAATATAGTTAAAATATTATACATCAATATGTGATGTGTTTACATATCGAAATATATTAGATTTGCTTTGCATCGGCTGGCGCCAAGTCGGTGCAACAATCAAGCGTCATGTACAAGTAGAGTTAGTATTAATTTTGGTTAATATTTACTATTATCTAATAAAGACAATGTAAAAAAAGTGCCTGGGTGCACTATTACAAGGAAGAAGTAAAAGCTACACTATAGTATAATACCTATAACGTACTAGAGACAATTCGCTCCGCTCGGGTTCGTCCCTAGTTCCGTTTTAACGTTTAGCTCAGAGATGAGATATTTTCTCGCAGTAAAAAGTGTGCTATATGTTAACCCGGATAACCAACTAACATCATACCAAATTTCATCAAAATCTGCTCAGTGGTTTCTCGTGATGCGATCACTGACAGACAGACAGACAAACAGACAAAAATTCTAAAATCTATAGATTTGGCCTCAGTATCGATAATAATGACTATTTCAATAAGATTTTTCAAAAAATATTTAATGCACGGATTCGACTCAGAATTTTATTATAAGTATGTATATATGATAGATGAGACTTGAGAGTGAAACGTTTTAACTCTCGACGTTAAAGCCGATCAATCTTGCTCGGTGTCGAGTATGCTCGAAACATTAATGTGAACGCCCGAACTTATACATAAGTTCTAATAATACCAACTACATACTATAATATCGTTGATACGTGAAAATTTTCAGTTTGTAATATCAGTTGCGATCTTTAGGCAGATAATTTTTAAATGTTGTTCCTATCTTGATTTCGGCGAGGAATTTCTTTAGGACTTTTGAGCATTTTATATGCGTGTTAAATGTAATGTAAAATTAATCGTAAGAGGAATTTATGTATTTCGATTGCTTTTAGCAAAATTTTAATAAAAAAAACTATATTTTTGAATTACATACATAGAGTTATCGAATTTGTCAGAGAATTTTTGTGCTACCCATATGAATGAAAGGCTTTATTACATTTTAGTAGTGTTGTTCATTTTTATTTTTTGGTCCTTTAAACTAAAAATCGTGTAAATCTTAACTTGTTAAAAATTTGTTTGCAAGAGATATTAGAGCACTTCCCATTATTTTATACTTGGTCAATGTCAGATCTTATGCACCAAAACTAAAACTGGCATGTTACCAATATAACTTCCCATATACATTATTAGTTTATTACATACTACATAGTAGCATGGGAAAATCTTTACCATGAAACTAGTATATACCAAAAACTGCAGGACTATACTAATGATCGCACGATAGTGCTTTTTGGATTATTTAATATTTTAAACTTTAGCGGTTTAAATTTCAAATAAAAAATCAATTAAAAAATTGAATTCGCAAAAATTGAATTATTTTATGAGTTAAGACGATAGGAGAGTCAACATTTCATTTATTTAATAAATTACTTCTAATTATCCTAAATAATGTTACATAAATTATTATATGTTAGATATTATAATAATAATATGTTATTATTAAACCTACTAAAGTATATTCTTTACAATATAAATAGTAAATACACAGTGGAAATGTTAATGTCGTAAATAAACTTATAGTGCTTCACTCCTTTCAATGTTTAATTGAGCTCAAGAGCGGAAGTTATAAAAATAAACTCTTCGCTGAATATTCAAAACAATGTTTTTTAATTAATTTTGTGAAACAATAAAGCACTGTTTTTCTTCCAGTTAATTTGTTACATATTTTAGTATTATTATAATTTACCTTATTTATATTGTAATGGAACCTTATAATTTCGGAACTTTGTTTAATAATATATTTAGATTTTAGAGCCCACTGCCCAAATAATATGAACGATAGTAATTTTTTTGTTGTCGTCACGTGATCACATTTGTTTAGTTTCAGGGCCATGAAATAAACAATCTAAAAAATACCTTTTCATGTTTATAATTTACATTTTTAAAATATAGAGAGTGATAATATTAAAATTTTGATTTATTTAAATAACTGATCAGTTATAAATAAAAGTTTTTTTACTTTAACGTATAATATATGTTAGGTATCTCAAGAAACTTACCACTAACGTCACCAAGTCCAACACGAAGTTGAATGACTTGAGTTGAATGAACAGAGAATGATTGCGGAGATTTTGCTCATTCATCTCTTCCCGCGCTTTACAGATTAAAAATAACACGGTAAACGTTTAGAAATATCGTATTAAGTCAACAGTTGTAATACTTTTTTTTCATTATTATACTCAATTTTCTTTAAATAATTGATACAAGGAAAGTTCATAAATTGTCATTATGAGATATGCTTCTGATATGAAAAAAATACGTATTATGTTATCTGTGTAACTGTCACAGTTACTCTAGAATACAATACGTCGTCTGTGCTTTGGATTTGACATTTATTTTATAATATTTTGATTTTTCAGCACGTGTGTTTAAAAAACGGCTTTTAGTTTTATTTTAATTAATGAATACGTGAAATAAGTTAAAATGAGACTTTTATCAGAAGACAGAACACGGATTTTATTTGAAAAACTAACTAAATAGTAAGTAACGAGATGTAACAATATTATTATAGAAAATTGTGGCATCAACACGTTTCATTTATTTAACTGCTATTTAAATCTAAGGTATGTATGCACTGAACAATTATTTTAATTTGTTTTTATTGTTTTAGTATTGGCGTAAATGTAAAACTTCTCATAGATCGCCCTGATGGTACTTATTGCTTTCGAGAAAAAAAAGACAGAGTATATTATATATCTGAACGTTTGTTACAATTGGCTCATACAGTGAAACCGGATCATCTAATATCTGCAGGGACATGCTTTGGAAAATTTACAAAGACTAATAAATTTAGGTTGCATATAACAGCACTTACATATATTGCACCATATGCACCATTCAAAATATGGGTTAAACCTTCAGCAGAACAACAATTTCTTTACGGACACCATGTTATCAAGAGTGGTAAGTAATTTTTTCTTTTAAAATTTTAGCCTAACTTGAGCCTATATTAGAAATTATTTTGAAACTTTTTTTAATTAATTTACTTATAACTTACAATAAAGAAATAATGATGTACCTAGTAAATTATATACTCATCATTTGTTGATGTTGACTTGTGATGTAAAGACTAAAAAAAAAAATTATTATAGTATTTTTAACTAATCATCTTAATTTATTCTAGGTTTAGGCAGAATAACAGAAAATACACCAAAACATCAAGGTGTAGTAATAAATACAATGTCCGACATTCCTATTGGGTTTGGAGTGGTAGCACGGTCAACTACTGAATGCAGAAATGCTGATCCATTAGCAACTATTGCTTTCCACCAAGCTGATGTGGGAGAATATATAAGATCAGAAGACACTTTAGTGTGAAATATAGTTTTTATAGAACAAATTTGGCTTTGTTTTCCTGTTTTAACAACCCATCTATATATTGCAAAGGTAAAATAAAATTAAATCATGTACATGAATTTGTCTAAAATATGAACTTTTTTGCACCTGTTATGTAAAGACTCAAATTATGCCAACCAACTTTGGTAGGAACCTTAAGAAGTGTATACAAAAAAACTTGCTCAATTTTCATTCACTAGAATAAGTGGTTTAGGGCATACTTTATAAAGAGCTATCCAAACAAATATACATTTACTTTATATAAAATGAATTTTGTAAATAAAAATTAAATTTGTTTTTTTTTTAAATCAAAACATTGAATACATAAAAAATTAAGCTACTGATGTGATTATTCTATTAATACATATTTATGTGTATCTGTGTTATTTCATATTTTAGTAAATTTTTATATTAAGTATGTGAAACTGAATACCAAAATAATTTCTGACTTAAAAAGATACTTTGTTTATTCCATTATTATCCAACTTCTTTTTAAACATACTTAATTTTTTTTGTGCATAAATTAAAGCAAATTCTATTAGTAACAAGTAAAAAATACTTAAAAATCTTATTAGGTATAAAATTTCTATTAAAGTGAAAAGCGCCATCTATTTCTATATCGAAACATTAGCCTATTTAGTAAGTTATGATTATTTCTAACAGATGTAGTTATTACAAGAATTCTTTCATAATTTACATTACTGTTGAAACATGCAAAATTACTTAATGGTAGTTTTTTGTAAATTTAAATTATTATTTTTGAGCAGTATAAAAAAAACTATATGGTTCGCCATTTTCTGTCTGCATTAAATGTTTATTTTTGTTTAATGATCTTAGGTGTCGCCATCTTTTTTTATGTTAAGAACTAAAAATTATTACAGTTTATCTTTTATCACATCAAAGTATGTTGAATACACGATTTCGTCACAAACAACTTCATAAAATTATATTAGCGTTAAAAATAACAGATCGCTTAGAGCAAATCTTGTTGAGGCTACCTTAGGTAGAGGAAATTCTATAGAGATAATTAGGGAGGAGAGTAATCGCTTAAAAGATAAAAATACAATGGCTATTTAAAGGAATTTTCATAAATTTTACTTCTCATTACCTCATTTTCTTCATTATTATTAGATATAACATATCTAACATGAATAAATTTATCTATCGATGAAGCAATCCTTGATTGACAATTAAAAATCATGAATCCTTTTGTTAAATAACAATAAAAATTAATATTTTTATATGTTTAATTAAAAACAATCATTCTCTTCATCTTTGTAATCCCTCCACGACCGCGGACACGCCGGCGTTACAGTTAACAATAGAATTCTTAGATATATAATTAATTTCTTAGAAATTTACCTGGAAGTGTTAAAACATTAGTGTAAATTGGCGTAGGTAAGCACTTAGAGATTTTTTCATTAATCATGTCGAAGTTTTATAATTTCACATTCATCCATACTAATATCATAAATGTGAAAGTGTGTTTGTTTGTTTGCCGTTCTTTCACGTCGAAACTGAGTGATGTATTGGCGTGATTTTTGGCGTGAAGATACCTGGAGAGTGACATGGCTACTTTTTACTGCGGGAGATCATCAGCTCATTCCCACGGGCAAAACACGTTATAATACAATCCAAAAATTTATTTCTGATCAGAATTACTTGAAACTTGGTATTAATGCTCTTCAATACAAATAAATAAAAAAAAATTTTGTAGTTTTTGCGCGAGCGAGGCCGCGGGTTTTGCTGGTAAGTAATAAATACCAGACTGAACAAAAGCTATATCTTCGCGCTGACGCGCTTCACAGCAGTAATTCCTTACCGTATCTACTTAGTTAACGTAAGTAGACTAAGGCTTGGTAGTTGGTAGGTATGTACATTGATGTGTGGTCCAATTACTAGACGAAAACTAATTTACTAATTATAAAAATGATTTAAATATTTTATATGTATCTAAGGAAGTGGTAGCCTAGTGGTATGGCGCTCTCGTGGGAAACCGAGTGAAGCGGGTTCAAATCCCGGCTCTCGCACCATTACTGTTTACGACGAAAGAAAACATCGCGAGGAAACCTGCATGTCTTATAGAACCTAGCTAGTAGCTAGTTTTCGAAAAACATGTGAAGTCCTTAGTCCGCCAACTCGCACTTAACCAGCGTGGTGGACTATGGCCTGATCCCCCTCGTATTGAAGGGAAACCCGTGCCCAGCAGTGGGACGTAAAAAAGGGCAGTATACAAATGTTTTTGTGTACCTAAACCTATTAAGAAGTCTGTTGATGTGAGAATGAATCTACTATAGGTAAGTACCAGTAGCGCTGCCTCTGAGTAAGAACTTTCGTAGCGTGCACTATTTTATTATATTTGTATGTATACATTAAGATGTAAGTATTTTGTTTTCTCAAAATAATTGTGAATTGTATTTATTCTTTTCTTAAACCTTATCCATAAATACCTAATGATATATTAATTATAATTAAAATGTTATTTGTAAACTATAATTATTTCTTTGAAGCTTTTATCTTTTAAATCACACCACATTTCAACTAAGGCCTGCATCGAACGGGCGCAGATAATGGCATCCTTTGTCCAAGCGCTAAATATCCACAAATTGTATCTTAGTCCAGTCCGATACACAATAACAATGCATTGTATTCAAAATATAAAGACACTAGGAACTTACACTTGCTTCCCTCGGGTGTGTCCCTAAATGCCTTTTTTATGTTGGGAAATGCATTTACGTATACCACTTGTATATGTACAGGTGGTTATGTGTGACTCACCGGCTAGAAAACCTAGTACTACCCACTAAAACCCAACAAAACCTCCCACGTCTTAATGGGACGTCGCAGGATCACTTACGTACTCAACCACGACACCCCTACGGAAGGTCTGCCAAAGCAGACCACAATAGCTCCTATATAAATGGGGTTGCTCCAATGGTTCATTCTGCTGTCAGAGAAGTACCAGGAGCAACCCGCATGACACACCGCCCATCGAGGTGGACCGTCTTCCGGTGTGTTTCTTGGCTTCACGCCCGGTTGGATTGCCGTGTCTTAAATCCCTAGCCTATTGCTAACTATGCGTTGCTTGCTTCAAGTCATATTCTATCTACATATGTACAAAATTTTATCGTATTTATATCCTTAAATTTGTAACAAACATATGCTACAGCTAAACAAACATGCTGAGTAGGTTGTTATATCCTTAAATTTCGTTAATATATTTTTAATATTACGATAAATTACAAAATCTTGAAATTTCATAATAGGTTATTAATATGAATACTTATATGAAACTTCATAATATATCATCCGTGTCTAATTTTATGTAAATAAAACCTTTTTGTTCTTCAAACAATATACCATTATGTTCCGTAAAGTGCCCTCGAGAAATAAAATCGAGCGTAATTAAAAGGCTAATTATCTTTTCATATAAACTTGTTCAGTGAAATTAATTAATTAAATTTTCTGGTTAAAAGAAATATTAAATCTATACATATAATTAAATTGTAACTAAGCCGAATCTGTACATTAAATATTTTTTGGAAAATCTTATTGAAATAAACATTATTATCGATACAAAGGCCGAATCTATAGTTTTTAGACTTTTCGTCTGTCTGTCTGTTACCTCATCACAGAAAAACCACCAGAGGGATTTTGATGAATTTTGGTATGGTGATAGCTGGTTATCCGGGACAACATATAGGATACTTTTTACCGCGGGAAAATATCTCATTTCTGAGAAAAAAAATAAAAAAACTGCAATTTAAGAATATACTAATATGTAAAACCTATGATTTTGGTTTTTGGTCTGATCTGAACGCGGGCGGAGCCGCGGGCAATGCTAGTGTTCTATAATTTCATAGCGTCTGAGTTCAGTTTTAGTTTTAGCTTTACCGTATTTAGTTTTTATAGTAATTATTAACGCAATATATCTTGTTTTTTTTACCTTTTTTTTTTTTTAACGTTGGGAAATGCATTTACGCACGAGGTGTGGGACTCACCGACAAAGCCAGTACTACCCACTAAAACCCAACAAAGCCTTCCCCCGTCTTAATGGGGCGTCGCAGGATCGCTTACGCATTCAACTACGACGCCCCGACGGCAGGTCTGCCGAAGCAGACCACCACAACCACGGGGTTGCTCCAAGGTCCACTCTGCTATCAGAGAAGTACCAGGAGCAACCCGCATGGTCCACCGCCCACCGAAGTGGGCCACCTCCCTGTGCGTTTCTTGGCTTCGCGCCCGGTTGGGTTGCCAGGCACTACTGAGCCCCCCCACCACGACAAGGTGAACGCACGTTGGGGGGGTTGTTTTTTTTTACCTAGATTAAGCCTTTCTTCCTAGAAATTCAATTAAACAACCCTTTTTAAAATGTATGTCTATCTGTCTTTCTGTTTGTTGGGGGTGATTTTTGGACTTAACCGATTGTAATGAGGCTTTCACTGAAAGATAGAGGAGTTTGTAGGGTTACATATAAGATATAATTTTATATTCCAGAAATATTATACATATAGAGTTCTACTGCGACAATCGAAAAGGAAAACCCTTAAACATTTACGCAAATTTCGAATTTACGTTTCTAAACTAGGGATGTTCTATGTCGCTTCGTCGTAATACAAAAATTAAATATTATAATCTTATTTTCTTAATGGAAAGATTACGGATCAACCATTGTCTTTCCACTCCTTAATAAAAGCTACAGTTTGTTTTATCTTAGTGTTGAAAGGTGTCTGAGGATAATGTACAAAGTGCAGCGCTAAGCTTTTGCTCAGTCTTTTCTTATGTATAGTTGTTACTTAAAGTAAATATAATGTATGTAAAAGATCATAATTTAGACGATACTTTTGGGTCAGATTGTAATAACTCTACTTGCTGTGACAGCTGTCGCGGGATCGAGTCCCGCCGGGGCCATTCATTTGTGTGATGAGCACGAATGTTTGTACTCCAGTCAAGGGTTTTTATATTTATAAAATGAATTT